AACTCATATTTAACATATTTTCAATGAGAAATGGCAGTCATCAATTATTTCTAGCTAAAGGGTAGTGTTTTAAAAATTGTTGCTTATTTTCAAACTGTAACGTGATATTACTACGCAAAAAAAATAAAATGATCAAAATATATATATTTAACATATTCAGGTAGCCGAAAATATGATAAAAATATTTTTGCTGTTTTTTAAGAAAAAAATTTTGCTGTAAATGTTTTTTAAGAAAAAAATAATAGTATGCATATTGCTTTAAGTCCCAGCTTTTAATTGCTAAAACGAAGAAAAATCAAAACGAAGAAAAAACAAACACAGAAATGAAAATGCCCTTTAGTTCAGATTTATAACATTTTCAAAAGTCTTTTGTTTATTAAATAGTTTTAAAACTTTCATCAAACTTAGAGTGCTTAAGTTGCAGAATTGTGAAGTAAAATGTTGTTGTTTAAATCCTTTAAAATCTCCTACGTTTTTTTTTTTTTTAATCTTTTTTAAAGTTCAATTTTTTATCTTTATAAAGTTTTACTTTTCTTTAAAAATTGCAACATCTCCTTAAATTAATTTTGATTTAAAGCATTTATTTGCAGTTTAATAAAGTTATTCTGCCTTTTGTTTCTTAAAAAGTGATAAAAATTGTCAGTTCAATGTGTCTTAATAACCAAAATGGTTGTACTTCGCAACTTCACGTTGCTTGCATATTAAGTTTTTAAATCTTTTCCAATTTTTTTTAAATACAAATTAAAACATTTAAAAGTTCTATTGTCGATATAATAAAATATAACAAACAAAAGAGAGAGTTTTAAAAAGCTTAAAATTGCAATAAATATCAAAACAGCCGTCAGAATTTTAAACCTATTTTTCTTGTCAAAGCATTGGCTTTCAGAAAATTGAAAAACTTAAAAAAATTTCTAATATGTTGGTTACATGATCAATAATAAGTCATGTTAAAATTAAAGAAAAAAAAATTTTTTTTATGGAACTGTAAGTAAATAAAGAAAAAATACACAAACCTATCATTTATGTATTTTTTTATTTAAAAAAATTAAATAATAGTGGCATTTATAGTAATCAAAAAAAGTTAAAGATTTGGGCTTGAAACTTTTGACCTTGGCCCTCATAAAAAAAAACATAAAATTAAAGAACTAAAAGTTTTCATTCTTTATTTTTATGTGTTTTTGTTTTCAATTTTCATATATATATATATATATATATATATATATATATATATATATATATATATATATATATATATATATATATATATATATATATATATATATATATATATATATATATATATATATATATATATATATATATATATATATATATATATATATATATATATGTATATATATATATATATATATATATATATATATATATATATATATATATATATATATATATATATATACACAAGTATGTTTTCTTATTTGATTTGATAATGATTTTCTTTATTGTCACACAACTTTCTAAATACAGTTTTGTTAAAAATTAGCCTTAATGTAAGGCAAAATTTAAGTCTTCAGGTTTGAAAGTGTTTGCGTAGGCCTTGGCCTTGAAACTCTTATTCTGGCCTTGACCTTGTAACATGTGGCTTTGTAACTTTTGGCCTTGGACTTGGCCTTGACCTTTTAACGTGTGTCCTTGGCCTTGTTAACAACTCTGGTCATTCATCACAATCAGGTTAAATTTTAAAAAAAGAAAAAACGCAACATCAATATGAGTTTATTTTAAACAAAATTCAACTCAATAACAACAACAAAATAAAAACAACTAAATAGAGAAATATTTACTATTTTATTTAAACTATTATAATAAAGTTGTCAACTGATAAAGTGTAGCAAGTATAGTTTACCACAAAAGAGAAAAAGAACCTAACTAAAATTTAGACAAATGGGAGATTTGCAAGATTGATAAAGAACCCAAGAAGACTTAAAGTATAAATTTTTTATTTGAATTAAAAATTTTTATTTGAAATGAAATTTATTGGTGCAAATAATATTGTCAAAAAATCTTTAATATAGATTAATAAAAATTAATATTATAAATATATATCTTTAGATAGATATATTGATAGATCTTTTTTTGTTGTTGTTGTGTATGCATAAAGGCCACCAGACATACTTTTAAAAAATAATAATAATGGCAACCAAACTTATTTTAATTTAATATTAATTTTTTGTACTTTTAAATAAAATGGTAAAGAAACTTGCTGATTTTTGCAAATTTTTTATGACTTTTTAGGACAAATTAGAGTGAAATTTAGGACATTTTAGGACAATCTAAAATCATAAATAAGTTTTTGGGTTCATTTTTATTCTGCAGATAAAAACTGACATCTGAAACACTAAACAAAGTACCAAAGTTAAATATACTTCTGTTATGTGATCAACTTATAAAAAAGCAACAGAAACAAAATAAAAAATGTTAATATCATTCTACTGATGTTTTATTCTAAATAAAAAAAACAAATTCATTTAGAGTTAGAATAGAGTTTCAATGCAAAACAAATAGTGCTTCAACATAATTCTAAATTGACTAAACTGACAGTTCTTTACTTCTTTTTTCTAATACATCTTGCTCATCATCAAGCTCTTGTCTTCTTTTCATCCCTGTTTCAATTTTACACTGGGCTCGCTGCAATTCATTTCTTGTGCTGTTTTTTTGAAGCAGACACTTCTTCAAATCACTATTTCCTTCAAAAACTAAACTGTCAGCAACTGATAGACTATCTTTTATCTGCAAAAAAAAAAAAAAAAAAAAAAAAAAAAAAAAAAAAAAATTATACTTTATGCATTAATTAAAAAAATCAAGTATCTTTTACAAACCTTTAATTAACCTCAATTGTATCTGGATCAAGTGAAGTAGCATGTAACTGAATGTGTTTGTTAATTGAAAATCCATTCTCTGGAGCACTATTTCCATGCGAAAGTGAAGAAACAACTTTGAAAAGGGATGTAATATTAGGAAACTTGGGTGAACCACTATCATTTAAAATTTTGGTCTCAACGGAATTGATATGTATTGATATCAAAGGAATTTAATGTATTGATATCAAAAGAATTAAATGTATTGATATCAAAACTACAAATAAATTTTGAAACTTCAGGAAGAAAGGCAAGCTGAAAAACTTTTTCCCAGTATGAAGTTTGATTTCTCCCAATTGAAACTAATTCTTCAGAACATTTATAATAGCATTCTGGAAACAATTCCATTTGGTAAACGCGCCATTCATTTTGTACATTATCACAAACCTCTTTCTTTGATGGATAGAAGGATACAAAAACTTTACATAAGACTACTTCCAGGGATTTACATACTTCTATAGTGAGATTTGAGACAGCCCCTAGAGACTCATTACTTCCTTTTTTTGAAGGATCCAGAAAGATTGCATTTTTTTAAATAACTGATTCCCAAGGTAAATTTAATTTTAAATAACTTGTAAATGCTTGATTAGACTCAAGACAATTTGGTCAAAATTTTTTCTCGCCACATGAGATTTCTAGAGATTCTGAAAAATAAGACTTGGCTTTGGTGCCAATATCATTTAACTTTAATAGTTTAAAATTTTTTAAGTCAGTTACATTAATCATCAGCAACTCATTAATAGATTTTATGGAATTAAATTATTACCATTAAACCATTATTATTAACATATAGAACCTTACATTATTACTAACATATAAAAACTTAGTTTTGATAAACTTTGACATTAGTGCAACAAGAAGTTTTGACATTTAAGAGTAAATCAATGAAATCAGGTGAATTCTTGGTTTAATAGATTGAAATGTTTTTAAAAATATTTCAAAGTCATTTGCTATAAAAGCAATAAAAGCAATATAAGATATTGATATTTCATTTTGCAAAATATTTGTAATACTTTTATACCTTTCAGTATCTCTAACAGTTGATTTAAAAGACGTAGTTGTTGGAAGAAATTTTATAAAAATTTCACAAAGATTCTTGTGTTGTTCTAAAATCTGAGAACATATTCTTCTGAGTGTAACCCATCTGCTCTGAATGTATTATGAACTATATGCAGGGGGCATATTTACATTAGGACCATCCATACCAATATGAAGCATAAATTTTATGTTAAGTTTAACTTTCCTTACAAGTTCAAGAAAATGTTCTAACAATTTTTCAGCAGTACAATGATCTACCATGAGTTCCACAGTTTGCAATTTTAATGCACTTGTGCCTTTTAGGCCAATATTTTACATAACCATCAAACTGTTTATTAACTTGTTGAGTTGTAGATTCGTCAAATTTAAATATAAAAACAGTATCGTTCAAGTCCTCCAATAACAATGTTTTTAAATATGGAAAGATGTCATATTGAATGGTATATTTAGCCTTTGTTTCATTTTGTCTATAAATAATATATAAAAAAGCAATTTTTGAATCTGGGAAAATGGCTTCAAATATTTAGTAATAAATTCAGTTTGCCCTTCTCTTTCTATATAAATAAACAAATGAAGTATAATTTAACAAAGTAATCTAAACACTTTTTACAACTTTTTCTATTTTAAAGACTGACCTAAAAACAACAATAAAATTGACAACTATAGATAACTATATATTCAATAAATATAGAGGATAGATAATTAAAAATAAAATTCTAATTCACACATTTCTATGTACACACATAAATATTATTACTATAAATCTATTATTGTAAAAACTAACATTTATTTAAAAAAATTTTAGGACAATTTAAGACATAACCCTATAAATTATGACATTTTGTGACAAAAAAGTAAAATTTTGTAAATTTGGGACATTTTGGGATTTTGGGACAGACTGGGAGGTCTGCTATTATAAATGAGCTTTTATGCCATCAATTTTATATCAATTTTCAGCTCTTATAATTTTATTACATAGAATTAAATTGCAAAATAATATTAAAATACTTAAAAAAAAAAATTTAATTATATTTATTTTCTTCAAAAAAATAAATATTGATTTAATATAAAATTATATTAACTTACTGGCATCATCATCATCATATGCTCCATTGTTACTCAACAAAACTAAACACTTTTTCTTAATAAAAAAAAACAGTTATATAAACTTTATATAATTAATCTGTATTTGTATATTAATCTATATATGTAATTTATAGTACATATATAGATTAATGTGCACATATATATTAGTACATATATAGATTATATGTATAAATTATACATATAATCTTTATATGTACTTTATACATCAAAGTACATATATAGACTAATAATAGATTGTATTATAAACCTAAGTTGTAAATGTATTCAAAACTAAACTATAAAAATTAAAACAAAAGCATAGAGAGTTAAATTGTACAATTAAGGGATATATGTTAATTCGCATCAAATTGAGTCCAATTCCATTAGGCCTTCGTTAAAAAATCAAAAGTTTAATTAATGAAGCTTGTTGTTGTTTTATAGACGATTCCTATCACGTGATGTTACACCGCCAAACATATAAATGATGCGAACGTTTTTAGCTTCACGCAATTTTTTTTTTTATAAAGGCTCTATAGAGCCTTTTAATTTTAATTTAATCTATAATTATATAATAATTTTATAATAATTTATACAATATTATAAATTATATAATAATTTAATTTTAATTTAATCTATAGAGCCTTTTAATTATAATTAGTGTTTGAAGTTTCCGGAAGAGAAAAGATGAAAACTGTAGAGAAAGATAACAATTGACAGACGAATTAAAAGATTGCAAATTATATGAATCAGGAAAGCAAGATAAAGAAAGCGAATTCCAAAGAACTGATGTTCGAGGGAAAAAACTTAACAAATAAGAGTTTTTGGAATACTTAGGAAACAGTAACAGAAAAAGGATTAAGAGTAACACGAGCATAAATTTTAGTAGATGGCACAAAAGACGCTAGCTCTTTAGAACAATGTCCATTATAGTATTTGTAGAAAAGAAAAAGAGAAGCAATATTGCGACGGTGTGATAATGATTGAATGTAGGCTGCAATAGCAAGTCCAACTATGTTTACAATGCGTTTTTGCACCTTGTCTAAAAGAGAAAGGGCATCATTAGAAGATCCGCCCCAGATTTGGCAACAGTATTCCATACAAGGCCGGATTTGAAATTTATAGAGATAGAGAATAGAATCCAGAGTAAGAAAATGCCGAGCTCGATAAAGAGATTTAACTTTAGCAAATTTTGCAATATAGAGATTTAACTTTAGCTAATTTTGCAATAGATTTGAAATACGGTTTCCAAGAAAAATCAGAAGTAAGAATCAATCCCAGAAGATGAAGGGTAGATGACTCATCAAGTACATTACCGTTCATCAATATAGGAAGGTCTAAATTATTGCGATAACAATTGGCTGAAAAAAATTGAGTTTTATCTAAATTAAAGTTCACCAGCCACTGATTTTCTCGTGAACGGACGTGATTTCTACAGCGTATTAATTAAAGGAAAAATTGTACAGTATTTTAAATTTTTATTATTAGTTTAGTTATTCATGTTTTATCGAAATATATAATGAATTAACCATATAAATTTGTTACTTAATTTGGTATTATCTTGTCACCATAATTGGTTTTAAAATACGAATATGGCACCACGTTTGGTCGGTGAGATATTTCTAATTTGAAATGCGATTCATATAAGTTTGCAGATAACTATTTGAAAAACTTAGATGAAATATGCTCTCACCCGAAAGATTTATTTGTTGAAAGTTTAGATGAAATATGGTCTCACCCGAAAGATTTAATTGTTGAAAGTTTGAACACAGTTTCTTAAAGCTTGATTCGAACTCTTCGCGAACGCTTATTTACTGAAATCTTGGATATATTTGACACAGACCAATTCAGTGATATAAATATAACGTTAGACTTCGAAAATCCAGCTGATAAAAATCTTCGCAAAAGATATAAAACATCATTATGTTTGGAGGATATTTATCTATTTTCGATCACAATATTCAAAAAGCAATTTCATAAAGATATAGTTAAGGCCTTAATCTTAACCAAAAATGTTGAAATTATTAGTGACAAGTTTTTAATCTCGTCAGTGAAAGAGTTAATTACTATTAAAAAATCGATTCAAAAAAAAAACAAAGAAATAAAAATGGAGCGAGAATATAGTCTGATGCGAGAAAAATTAATTCATCAAAGTAAACTTATTGAAAACCTTAAAGTATCAAACGAAAATACCCGCATCTTAACGGATATTCGGACGAACGTTTTAACGGATATTTGAACAAATGCACTACAGTTAGCATCTGACAAAAAAATCCAAGATGTTTTAGTTGATTTTTGAGATGTAGGGAAGAACCGTTAATTTGAATCGTGTTTTTTGTAATTTTTACCTAAGATAAAAAACTCGTTTTTTTCAGTGTTTAGTTTGATAAAAATGTTTAAAAATTTAAAAGTTTTTGCATTTTGTTTAAATTACATTAATTAATTCTTGAATCAAGAATTAGTTAATGTAATTTAAACTCGTGTAAATTGATAACCTTTTACCTATCAAGAATCTTGATAGGTAAAAGGTTATCGATTTACACGAGTATTTGTAACGAGTAAAAAAATTACAAACGACTTTTTGAATCCATTTTAAAGTATTCAAAAAAGTCGTATTATACTAACCAATTAATAAAATTTAAAAACAATTCTCAAAAACATTGCGCATAATTAGAGACGTCATAGGTAAAAAAAATTCAAATTGTAATAGTCTTCTAAAAAAACTCATTTTAAAAGACTGTAGAATTATTAATGAATCTTTAATTGCTCAGTCGCTTAATCATGCATTTGTTAACTCAGGCGTAAATTTAGCATCAAAACTTAAAGTTAGTGAATCTGATTTTAAATCATACCTAATCGCTAATAATACCCTGATGGGAAAACAATAAATTAACTGAAAAATAATTTTCTAATGCTGTTTCTTTTTTAAAACCTAACAAAGGTCTTGCCCAAAACGATGTTTGCAGTAATGTAATAATAAAATCAATCTTTTATTTAAAATTTCCATTCATGCATATTTTTAATTTTGATAGACTTAAACTTGCAAGGGTGGTCCCTGCCTTCAAATCCGGAGATTTTACAAGCGTATCTAATTACAGACCAATCTCAATATTATCATGCTTTTCTAAACTATTAGAATACATTATGTATCACCGACTATTTACCTTTTTAGAAAATAACAATGTTCTCTATAATAAACAATTCGAATTTAAAAAGAATCACTCCACTGATCAAGCAATTATTCATCTTGTTTAAAAAATTTTCTCAGGCGTTTGATGAAAATAAATTTACGTGTTTTTATTGATCTGAGCAAAGTATTTTTTTTTTTTCTTTTTTTTGGAAAGATTCATATTCTTGTCTACTTTGCTTTTGATTATTAATATTAATCAGTATTTAATTTTAATCAATTAACATCTTTTTTATTTATTTTTATCTTAAAAGAGTTAAACCAACATTTTATTTTTTCTAATTTGTAATTTTTTATTTGATTTTTTTAAAAGAATATAAATTTTTTCACAAGTTTTATGTTGCAAAATTTTATTTTTTATGTATTTATTACTCTTTTTATATATTTTTACTATTTTTATACATTTATTACCAGAAAATCTTTTTTCTTATATACTGGTTACAAATACATATGCTGTAGGTAATAGTTTTTATTTTACGGAGTCAATTCTCGGGTAATAGTTTTTATTTTACGGAGTCAATTCCATATATATATATATATATATATATGGAAAAAAAAAAATAGAGTAATCGTGCAGTCACTTGTATTTATACCTTTTGGTTTGTACTAATACCTCGACCTTGAAAAATTAAACAAAAGCAATAAAAATTTTTATCAAAAAAATCTGTAAACAGCTTATAAAAAAAATTAATTACAAAATAGTTTATAACAAGTAATCTTCAGACATTTAAAAATAAAATTAAAAAAATGACGTAATTTAGAGTTTTTGAATAATTTTTATGCCTTCATTTATGATGAATGGTGGGGGAGAGGGGATCTTTCACCAAAATTTTTAAAAAAATCAGCAATCATAAATAAAAATTATACAAAAAATAAACTTAACTTTTATTCTATACGAAAATATATTTTTTTTAAAAAAAACTCTTAAAAAATCTTTGTACAACAATATCTAAAAAAAAAAGTAACATAGCACAGAATTTTAGCACAAAAAGTTCTGTAAATCGTGATTTCCGCCTACTTATATGTTTATTTACTCTTTATTATAAGTTTTATAAGTTATTATAAGAGGGGATCTTTCACCAAAATTTTTAAAAAAATCAGCAATCATAAATAAAAATTATACAAAAAATAAACTTAACTTTTATTCTATACGAAAATATATTTTTTTTAAAAAAAACTCTTAAAAAATCTTTGTACAACAATATCTAAAAAAAAAAGTAACATAGCACAGAATTTTAGCACCAAAAAAAGTAACATAGCACAGAACTTTAGCACAAAAAAAAGTAACAGAGCTCAGAACTTTAGCACAAAAAAAAGTAACAGAGCACAGAACTTTAGCACAAAAAAAAGTAACAGTGCACAGAACTTTAGCATAAAAAAAAGTAACATAGCACAGAAGTTTAGCACAAAAAAAAGTAACATAGCACAGAACTTTAGCACAAAAAAAAGTAACATAGCACAGAAGTTTAGCACAAAAAAAAGTAACATAGCACAGAACTTTAGCACAAAAAAAGTAACATAGCACAGAACTTTAGCACAAAAAAAAGTAACAGAGCACAGAACTTTAGCACAAAAAAAATGAACATTGCACAGAACTTTAGCACAAAAAAAAGTAACATAGCACAGAACTTTAGCACACAAAAAAGTAACATAGCACAGAATTTTAGCACAAAAAAAGTAACATAGCACAGAACTTTAGCACAAAAAAAAGTAACATAGCACAGAACTTTAGCACAAAAAAAGTAACATAGCACAGAACTTTAGCACAAAAAAAAGTAACAGAGCACAGAACTTTAGCACAAAAAAAAGTAACATAGCACAGAATTTTAGCACAAAAAGTTCTGTAAATCGTGATTTCCGCCTACTTATATGTTTATTTACTCTTTATTATAAGTTTCTGAGGTTTATCCTTTGGGGCTGTCTATAAATGATGTCAGTGATTTTTCTCAATTTTTTGACCCCCCTTTTCCCTTTGTCAAACTCTGTTAATTTTTGGCCAACCCGACCTTATGTATGATGTCAGTTTTTGTACCAACCCTCAACATTAAAAATAAAGTAAAAAGTAAATTTAAAAATATGCGTAAACACCATTGATTGTTTTCTGGTTAAATTATACATTTATATAATAGTAGATCTCAGCTATATTATAGAACAGATAATACCTTATCAAAT